TTTTTTTTTTTTTTTTTCTTTTTTATTCTTCGTTTCTTTCTTTTTCTTTTTCTCCTCGATGCGCCACGATGCTTTATTGCAAGCAACAATCGAGAAGACAATGAAGGACGAAATATCGGACAGTCGGTTACAATCGAAAGAAAACGTTGAGCTTTCGGTCCCAGAACATTTGCGCGAGTTGAGGATGATGTACGCGTAAGTGGCGAATCATATGCGACTTTTGGTAGTTTTTCATCGTGCAGTGGGGGCATTCGAAGCGCGGTGGCTGTTTGCACTGATTCCGCAAATGCGACAACATCGATTTCTTCCACTTGTAAAGATTGTGACAACTGGGACACTCGTACAGTCCATCTCGTCGCATGGTAGTGAACTCTCTGCTAGAACGAGCGTAGAACCGCTCGATTTCCGTCCTGCCTTTCCCCCTTTCTGAAACAAATATACAGACAAAGAGGATGTTATTAACAGCGAACTATTATTTCGATTCGTTTGTAGATTCACAGAACGGTCGCCTGGAATTTTCTTCGTCTATCTGTCTGCTCTTAATCCTTTCATATCATCCCTGGAAATTTCTCCTCAAATCATAGAAACAGGGGAAAAATTCCAAAAATAAAAAGATCAGCGTTCTTTGTTTCGCGCAGTTCAATCGTCAAACTTAACATCTCCTTTTTTTTTTTTCTTTTTTAACACAATCCTTGAAAACATTTTCTTCTCCACAAACCTGCCTTCTCTTCGCCTAATCTCCGCCTAATCGTCCGGTTTATAAATATTTGTCAATTAAGTCGAATTACCTAGTCGACTTGGGCACTTAAATATGCACTCACGAAACCATATTAAAAGTACATTGTAGCTCGTTGCGAACGATAAAACAAATATCACAAATATTTGAAAATAAACAAGTGGAAAACTCAAAAATCAATATTTATTGTTCATTGTTACGTTAAAGCTCTTTTAAGCATGTTGCAACCTTAAAAAGTAGAATGTGAAAGTTCTTAATCATCAGACACTCGGATATAAGAAGGGATATGCGCGATGGATATCGTCGTCGTTGCACCTTGACATTGGAAAACGTGCCTTTCGGAAAGGACGATTAAATACAAAGGAATAGGACTGAAACGAAACGAAATCAAATGATATGAGATGAAACGAAACAAGACGACAAGAAATGAAATGATGCGAGACGAAACGAGACGAAAGATAATAAGATGGCACGGGACAAAACGAAATAGCAAAAGATAAAGAAAGACAGGGTGATTGAACGACGTTGAAAAGCTACTTGGTTCGATGTTCCTGATGGTAAAGTTTTACATTCGTAGCGACATCGATGCAGTAAAGTTCATATTTCGGATGAAACGTGCGTATATGCGTCCACACGGTGGTACGTTGGCGAAGATGATGCTTGCAGTAAGGACATTCAAATCTCTGAGGTGTTCCGCATTCATACTTATAATGCCGTATCATGTTACTCCGATGTTTGTAGGTACGAGAACAATTATTCGGGCACGGATGTCGCTTTTGTTCGTACAGCTCGATCGAAGTTCGAGACTTTGTGCTGCGGCTGCATCTTTCAGAATCTGTAAAAGAGGACAAATTTTCGAACGATTAGTTGTGAAAGATCGCCAGCTCAATGACACTGAACTCGCTCGATACATCGAACGCTTGACGACAGGCTCAGCTGAAACAGCAGCAGATCTCGGATGAAATCGAAATTCTATTCGATCAGAGAAGAACGGGAGAATGAAAGATCTCACGGGGCGGTTCTTCACTTTTCAATCGATGAAGATTTATATAAAAGAAAGTTGCCGCAAAATCGACCTTAATCTCGAAATTCAAGGTTGAATTTTTTTACGCCAGCATCGTAAAGACTTGCTAATGGAATTCAATTTCTTTGAGAAAATACTTTGAATCGCGGTGCTCTGTGCTACGGAAAGTTTCAACTTCGTTAACGAAGCAATGTCAATACATCAATGTTCCACTAGCTTTTACATTATTTACAATGTGTATATACATTTTGCAATCGAGCAAATTAATACTAAAACAGGAAATTATTCTTTAAGTACGTGGAATATCATGTATTCAAATACAATGAAGCATGTGATAACTGTAATTCTCTTGCTGCATGACAAAATATAAAATATTTCTAAACGAAAACTGACTACTGAAAAGAACATTGTTTTATAGCTGAACGTATGGAGATTGATTGCGTTTCGTTTCAGATGGGATCGTATTTGATCCTTTGGATGGTTTGGAACACGTTCAAGTAGAAAAGTATATTAAGCAGTCCATGCCATATAAATACTATTAGTTTAGGATAATGAATATTAGGAAATATTCAGATGAAAATTATATCCTAAACTTTTCTCGGCATAAACAGTTTAAATACTTTTCTATAATTACATTGACCAAGGCATTTTTATTAAAAAATATGATCACATCTAAAATAGAACACCGTTGATCTTCACACCTACAAAAATCGTGTCCTTTTCGACGCCATTTTTTTTTTTTTTAATTTTCGTTTGAAATATTTTGTCAGACGGAAATCAAATTAGTTATTAAATAATGCATCGTATTTAAAGTACGGTATTCCAAATACTAAAGAGCAACGTATCTTGCTTTA